CGCCATCACCGCACTTCTCAAACTGTAAATCGGTGCACTGGAGAAGGGTGCACATGTACCTATTGTTTTCTTCTGAACATGTAAATACTAGCGAAATAGTAGTCCAAATGTAGTGGTGTTGTGTGGTGGTCTGAGCTTTCTCACAGAAATGGGAACCGTCTCCTCGACGAAAAGCAAATCTGTCTCTCTCTCCCTCTCTTATTTTTGACGATTTCAAGTACAACACGCACACATACGTATGCGACCCACATTCGTTCCGCTAAAAAAACATGTGGCGGATGCAGCGCACGGCAAGAGCCACAGCAATGGGAAGCGTATTAGAGAGCTGTGGGGAGAGTTAGGGCCCCGGTCGAAGGAGGAAATACGGCAGAAACTGAACCGAGAATCCTCCACGTTGAAATCGGCGACACCCTTTACGCAAACACAGGCCCACGTCAAGTTCTCGCGTGGCGTCAGCGTGCCCCTCTCCTACTGGGATAGCGGGACGACCACCACGTCACCAGAGTGGAAAGACTTCTTTAGTGAAAAGTATCTTCAAAACGGATTCCCCACCGCCCCGCTCTTCAGCTGCCCTTTTTGTTTTCAAAAGGAAACGCTCCGGTACGCGGCCAAGATGGGGAAGTCGATGGCGCAGGAATCGCTGCTGGCGTACCAGGCGAACATGCTGAACGCCAGGGCGCGGCAGTACACACCGTCTGAAATGCAGCGGCACTTGGCCCACATTCACCCCGTCGACGGGTGGGATCCTTCGCAGCTCCAGCTGTATAACAAGCATGTCCTGTCCACGATGCAGGAAAGGGTGAACCTCACGACCGACGGTGCCCCCCCGCTGTCGCTGATTGTGCTGCTGGACGTGGCCAACCTCGAGTTGGGGAGTGTCAAAACCTTTGTGGATCTGCTCAAGGACAAGGACGCGGTGGATATCTTCACCCAACACCCCATCGCCGTCTGCGCGGTGCAGGAGTTGCTCATCCCACACACCTCCATCGTGCTGCACGTGGCGTTTCAGCTCTCGCAGCTAAACCCATTCTCAGACTTTTACAACTTGTATTCCGTCACGCGGGCGGAGGCGGGCGATATTCTCTCCACATGGGCGGTCGGCTCCCTCTATCAGCGACTCTCCGAGTCTCTCCCGCCGATTGTCCTCCTCACAAAAGACTCGCAGCAGAAGCAGTGCATGAGCGAGATCTTTGGCGGCGGCTCCGCCTTTACGGGCAGCCGGGGAACCCTCCGCACCACCAGGCAGATCCTCGTCCCATCGATCGTTCACGCGCTGAAGGAGGCACTGGAGTCCTCCTGCTATCCGCCTTACTGATACTTTTTATTGTTGTCGATTGTATAGTACAAGGAAGTACAAAACAAAAAAAAGCATTTCTATTACGCTGGTATTTGCTCGTTATTCACTTTCGGAAAATTAAATCGCCTTTTCTCTCTTCCTTTTTCTTGTTTTCTTTTCCCTGTGCCGCGATGAGCTCAACTGGTGTTGGGTGCGGGCTTCAAACCCGTAGGTGAGTAGCACTCACAGCCGTTCGATTCGGCCTTCGTGGCGTCTCTCTTTTTTGTGATTTTAGTATGATTATGGTTTCAAATAGTATTGATATAAGTGTACCATGCACCGTCCTTGTCCCTTCATCAGTGCATATTTTCCTCCCTCTCTCTCTCTCTCCTTCCCCCATACAATACAGGCAAAGCGAAAAAGAAACTCCCTCTATTTCAATGAGTGTTGCATCCACTGCGACGATGACCGGAACGGCGCACGATTTACACATCATCACCGGGCTGAATGAGCAAACCGCCACCATCCTCATGGACCGCTTTGGTTCCTACGACGTCGCGCTGGCGGCATTCGTCCAGTCCTTCACGAGGATACCGGACGATTGCTTCGACAGCAAGCGGGCGTTGCTGGACAACACCGAAGAGATCAACGAGCAACTCCGCTTCATCTACGCGGCCGCGCGAGAGGTCAAACAGCGAGAGAAGTGCCAAACCGACAAGGAGGCTTGGGCGGCGCTGAGTCGCGGGCCAAACGCCGCCACACCCACCCCGACGTCGGAAGCTGCGAAAGAGAGCACCGCGACGCCTGTGGCCGAGGCCAAGACCAGTTCCGCTCCCACTCCTGCGCCCGCCACGAAAGAGTCCCCGAAGCCAGCCGCCACTGCTGCCCCGTCCGGTTTTGGTTTTGGCGAGCCCAAGTCCGCTTTTGGTTTCAACAAGACGTCTGACGCCGAGAACCCGTTTTTGTCTGGCCCTTCCCCTGCAGAGTCAAAGACAGACAAGCCGGCTTTTGGATTCGGCCAGAAGCCCGCCGACGCCGTGAAGCCGCCCGCCTCTTCTTCCGCAGAGCCGAAGTCGGCCAAGGGGGCATTTGAATTCGGCCAGAAGCCCGCCGACGCTGAGAAGAAATCCATCTTTTCTTTCGGAGGTCCCTCTGGAACGGCGCCGGCTTTCAGTTTCGGGTCTGCCGCACCAGCGGGCGGTGCTCCAGTCTTTGGCGCCAAGCCTGCTGCTCCTGCCGCCGCTGGATTCGGCCAAGCACAGCCCGTGACCGCCGACAAGAAGGAGGAAAAGAAGCCTGTCGTCTACTGCGAGCCCACCCACTTCACCGGGCCCCTCTTCCAGATGGAGCACTTTTGGGAAAAGGAGGTGCTCGGGCGGGCGCCGCTGTTCAACCTGGACAATGGCTTTCTAGAGGCAAACCGCGACCAGCTGCGCCCCCGCCTGGAGAAGTGGCTCAAGAAGGCCCACTTCTACCGCAAGCCGATCCAGTACGTCAAGATTGAAGACGATGACGAGGAGGTGGTGCGCGTGATTATCAAGGACGCGGAGCGCACCTTTTACGCGCCGGAGCACCGCGAAAAGCTGATCGCCTTCCTCAACGCCCTCTTCCACGAGTTCGACGCGTACGGCCAGGCGATGAGCTACCTCGCCGGTTTGTGCCTTTTGGTGCTGGACGAGGAGGAGACGGGGTCCATTATCCGCTTCGTGGCGACCGAGTACATTAGGGGGCACTGGGCGGCGGAGGCGGTAGGGTTCGCGACGAGCGCGTGGGTGGTGGAGACGTTCATGCAGAAGAAATTCAAGGACGTGGCGGAGCACCTCCTGTCGCTCAACTTTTGGCCCGACACGTATCTGCAAAAGATCCTGAGTGGACTGTGCATCCACGTGCTGACGTTTGACAAGCTGTTCATCTTTTTGGACGCGTTCATGGAGGGCGGCATGAAGTACCTGATCCGTTTCTGTCTCGCCATCGTCGAGCACTTCCGGGCGGACCTGCTGGCGATTAAGAGCGTGAACGACGCGAACAACTTGTATGAGATTATGCGCCTCGACAGCAAGACGTGCACGCCCGCTGATGTGGATGCGATTCTGAAGCGCGCGCCGCTGATTGACCTCGGCGAGGCTGGGGATAGCATTGATGTGATTCGATCCGAGGTGTATGAGAAGCGCATTCTCCCCCGCATCTCGCGCGCGCCCAAGACGGACACCTTTGAGCCGTGCGACCTGTGCAACACCAACCGTCCCAAGTGGTGGAACGACGACCTCGGCATGGTGTGCGACGCCTGCAAGGCGAAACACCCCGACGAGACGTTCGAAAAGTATTAACGGTCGCAGCCCGTTCACCAGATTAAATTAATATAAATATATATCAGACTTCTTTAGGTACTTTATATATGTTTTTTAAACGAAAAAAAAAAAAAAAAACGTTCCCCAATGTGTGTTCCTTGTGCCAGGTGATCTCCGGCAAAGCGCACTGTTTATCCTACCCCTATATTCCCTTTCCCTCTCTTTCTTTTTTGTAGTCCATGGAAAAAATAAGGACCAGAGTAGCGCGGGAGGTGAAGTCGCTGAGCCACCCCCGCGACCGACGCGTGCGTCAGATTGAAAAGCGCGAGAAGCGGGGGCTGCGCGTCTTGCAGCAGAAAGAGCGGCAAAAGAACCAACACCAGCAGCGACTCAACCGCTACGAGTGGCTCAAAGACAGTGTGTTCCTGCTAGGGGTGGCGCAGTCGGAGGCCGGCTGCCTGAGCGAGGAGGATGTGCTCCTTCTGGTGCAGGTGTACATTGAGCGGCACATCCGCGAGGCGAACAAGCTGCGCCGCGAACGCAACCACCCGAGGGGTCTGGTCAAGCAGCTCCACAACGCGTACGAGGCGGAGATGGCGGAGCTGCGCTCGACGCAGGGGATGATGGTGCCCCAGCTGGACACCCCAAAGGCGGTCGCGAAGCTGTTGGAGTGGGACGGCACGATGGAGGGGTCGAAGAGTCTCGATACCGTCACCGTTAGTCTGGACACGCGCGTCCTGGAAAGGGCGAAAGTGGATGAGGTGGCGGCGCTGCTCGTGGACGTGGACGGCGAGGAGCACCAGAAGACCGCCCGCGCGAAGCGTGTCGGTGTCAAGAAGACCGCTCGGAGAGTCGTCGGCGGCGGAAAGGCCAACCTGAAGCTCAAGAGCACGGTGCGAAAGTCGCTCAAGAAGAAGCGGCTGGGCAGCAAGTAAACGATTAAGCTAAAAAATAAAAAAAAAAAAAATGCAGTGGACAAAGAAATGACGACGCTGTTTTTGCCCTTCTCGTGTTCTACATTCCTCTCTTCTCTGAAAAAGGGTTTTCAAAATTTATCATGTAGTTTGAAGGCGCCACTTAGTAAAAGTCGAAGTGGTGATCTCACTAATAGTAAACGGGGAAAACGCCGACAGCAGAGAAACCAAAAAGGACGAAAAGGAATCCTAGGGCACCCTCCATACTACTTTGAAGCGAACTTCCCCTATTCTAGCTCATATGGAAAAGGCCCAATGCCGTCAACTAAAAACCCCCTGGTTCAAACCCCAGCCAGGGGGCATTTTTGACAAAAAGTGGGTCGTTACGGGAATTGAACCCGTGACCTCCTGTACCCAAAACAGGAATCATACCACTAGACTAAACGACCTACAAAGTTTGCCTGTTTGAGGCCCCACGTCCCACTGTCAAAATACCTAGATATCTTTTTCACACACTTTTGAAGCACCGTAGCACAGTGGAAGTGCGACAGGCTCATAACTTGTAGGTCGGCGGATCGAAACCTCCCGGTGCTATACTTTTTTTCATCCGCTATTTTTTGCTTAGTAGGACGTCTGGGGGGGCCGGCCAACCAAAAAAAGAGAATTTTCCTGCTCCTCCGTTCAAACCAACCCCCTTCCCCCTCCCCCAAAGAAAACAACCCCACAACAAAAATGGACGTCACACGGCTTAACGCACCGTTTGTTTTCGCCGACTTCCAAAAGCAGGTGCGCCTGTGCGACTTCATCGCCGTGGACCAGGAAATGACCGGCGTCTCCGGAAAGGACATCGCCTCCGACCACCTCTGCGGCATCTCCCCCGAAAAGCTCTACAACCACTTCCGAGACGGCGTGTTGACCTACAACGCCTTCCAGTTCGGCGCCTGCCTGTTCACCAAAGCGGGGGAAACGTACGAGGCGAGGCCTTACAATTTTTCCCTCCTGAACAAGTCCGGCAGAATGACCCTCGACCTCAACGCCGTCGAGTTCCATGTCACGAACAACCTTGACTTCAACAAATGGATGAAGTTCAGTATTCCTTACTGCACAAAAAATGAGGAAGCGCAAATGGCAGCTGCCAAAAATGAAAAAAACATTACCGACGAGGCAAAAAAAAATGATTGAGACCATGAAAGCCGAAATTGTCGCCTTTTTGCCCGGCGAAGAACCGGAGTTGAAAAAAAAGCTCAAGTGCACTTATCCGAGCGCCCACCTTATTTGTGCCACTTTCGAGGAAGAGTTGGATTATTTGGTGCACATAAAATTTGAAGCCGTGCAAAATACGCAGGACAAGGTATTTACTATTACAAAAATAACCGAAGAGGACAGGGAATTTCGCAGATTACGGCAGAAACGCTACACAGAGAAGAAACAGTTCGAAAAACTGGGGTTTCGCAATTTTTGGAAAGAAATAATCGCCAGCGGGAAGCCCATTGTCGGACACAATTTTCTTCAAGACACCATGTTTATGATGCACACGCACGAAACAGACCTCCCTCCCACCTATGCAGAATTCAAGAACCAACTGCACAGTACGTTTAACACAATTTACGACACCAAAGCGATCGCGACTTTCATTAACAGCGACAGCGAACAAGAACCTTTTCCCAATACAGGCCTGGGTTCCATTTATACAGCGATTCGAAAATCATTCGATCGATCACCACGCACAATCGAGGAAAAATTTGTGCTGCCCCCAGGATTTTACAACTACAATGACGCCTCTGTGGGAGAGTTGTCCAAGGCACACAAGGGACAGGTACGATGCGTACATGACGGGCATTGTTTTGGTACATTTTAACGAATTATACGCAAAGGCCGTGGAGAAATCCACCAATATTTTGCTGGCGTTCGGTTCTCTGTTTTTCACATCGATAACAGGTGAGGATCAGTTAATCTATCCCAACACATTTTTGATGGAAACGCCCGAGGCGTACGATCAAGAAGAATTTGGATACTTTTTATTTGCGCTATTTTATGAAAAGCCCGCGGAAGTGAAAAAAACAGATGCGTGTTTTCGCCTTCACATTAATTACAAGGCGGATCCCCACCAGAACAGTATTTCTTTTTACGTTAAAAACGGAGAGTCGTTGGAGCAGCTCAATGAGAGAAAGCAGAAACTAATCGAAAACATCAGTTCCTTCAGCATTAACGACACATTAGCGCAGACCGTTAAAATTTCTTCTATTCAATAAACCTCCATTCGAGAATAACAAAAAGAAGACAATTTGCTCGTTTTTATAGAAACAACAGTCAGAGTTTTAAAATAAAATAAAATAAAAATACAACGTGACAAATCAGATAGCACAAATCATAATTAATACACAACAAGAATAAAAAAAGCTTAAAAAAAAAAAAAAAATCTATGACTCTATTGAAAAAAAAAAAAAAAAATGATCACTGCAACAGTTATTCTTTTTGTTATTATTATTTTTCTGGCATTTGTGGCATGAACTGCATTCATCTTCCCACACCTTTTTTAATTTTTTATTTTTATATAATATTAATAATTACAATTGCTAGCGCACATGCGGAGATGTTTCACAAAAATAGTAATTTTACAGGGAAGGCGATACTCTGATTGGGAAGACGGCTCCGCTGGTCATGAGTGGAAAAGCCGATATCTGGGAGAAAAAAGAAATACCGCATTGACCTACTTGGCGGACGTGAAAAAAAGAGTACCTATTCATGACGCCATTCGCATGAAGGCAAATACTAGTAAGGAAGCCATGCTGAAGGAAAACGAGCACAGCAAATTATTTGACAGCGTTTCCTACGGAACCCCGCCGGAAAATCCCATGAGTTTTGACGAACTTGTGGACGAGCTGCTTTTGGAAGAAAATTGCGACGATATTATCCACCACATTAAAACGGCAGATTTAAAGTTTTTAGACGACGAATTTATCGGCAACGATGCGGAGAAGAGTGACATTCTCCGACGTTGGCTTAAAATACGACGTGAAACGAGCGATTTTATGAGTTATAGCAGTATTCCGGAAGCGGAACGAACAACGTGGTCAGCGTGGTACCTGCGGCACATTCGAGGTCAGCCACCAGAGTAAATTTTCACAATTTTAACTGTAACAATTTTTTTTTTTTTGTTATTATTGATTGTATTCCTTTTTTTTGCAAGTAGCGTTGTCGGCAACTTTTGATTGAATAATCCACAAAAATTCGCTCCTTTTTTTTTTCTGCTTCTAGAAAAACAAGGTTAGATATCCGCATTTTTTTTTTTCTGCATATATATCGGTACACTACACACAGAAAAAAAAATATAAAAAAATGAACAAAGCTCTCTTCGCTGTCATTTGTGTTGTCCTGACGGTTTTGACCGTCTTTGCCACGGAAACAAAAGAGGAAGTCGTTACTATTTCCTTGTCTAGTACAGTCGCGACTGGTCTCGCGGTGGCCGCGATTCTTGTCGGCATGGTATTTTTCTCTGTCAATATGATGCAGGGAATTCAAATTTCCGAGGTCAGCGATGGAAGTCAGTAGAAAAAATCCTAACAAATCAAAATTGAGGAACCGTAGATAGTAACTGGTGTTTTATGCCGTCTCTGTTTCTTCAGCGTTTGCTCATTCCAGTAATTGCGTCTTCTCTTAATTTTGAAAGGTATATCGTACACGCAGTAAAATCCAATGAAGAATATTAAATAACCAAAAAAAAAAAAAAAAGTGTATTACCGTTGCGATGGACACGCATTATTTCGAACACTGGATTTTTTTTTTTTTCTTACCAGCGAGATAAATAAATGTTCATTGGTCCTCTCTCTCTCTCTCCTTACCCCCCTTTGTTTTTTTATTTTAAGTGTAGCCGTTGCTTTTTTGTATATTTTTTACAAAAATAAAAAATACCTGTATTTATACTCTTTATAATTGTTATCTTTTTTTTTTAATAAACCACATTAGATGCTTAGCGGTATTTCACATTCCAGTGACAATGTTGTGCAAACCGTAAATTCTAAAAATATTTCTAGCAGGGCTCGGCGATACGCGCTAATTTTGCATCAGATGCTCATAAAAACAGGGTTAGAGATGAATCCTTCGACGGAGATGAAGGCTATTTTGCTAGTTGCCCAACGGGAGACGTTTAGCAAAAAATTGGCCCCTGAGAATTACGACGATGACGCTGTGGCAATGGAAATTTTTATCGTCCAATTTCAAAAGGAAAAAATTATTTTACCTGAGTCATGCCTTCGGATTCATTTAAATCAATTGTGTACGTTTTCGCCGTTGTGCAAGGCCAATGCGGAGGAAGTGGTGAAAGTTGCACTCTTGCTGCTTCATTATGCTTACACTTGCGACGCTTGTCTGTTTCCCGACTCGTCCGCCCTTGCCTCCCTGATCGCCTCCTGCGAAATTATTGGAATCGACGACTTTTCCATAAATATGTCGGATACGGTGACTAAAATTAAAAACGATTTAGTTTCCTTCGCCTCCACCAGCTTGTAAATTATCCACAACCATATTTAAACTCGAGCAGAAATGTTGGTGTGTGTTGTTCATTTAATTTTATATACCAATCTTTTTAAATGATTGCTTTGTTGAATGCGTCTCCTTTTCTTCCTCCTATTATTGAAAGCATTTTTTTGTTAACCTGCTAAATAATAAGAAAAGAAAATGTCGATGTATAACAGTATGAATAGCGGCCTGGAGAATTGGGGCCTTCTTAGTGTCGCAGATGTGGAAGAACGTGAAGTCACTGCGAAATCGAATACGATGGATAGAATTTCGTGGGTGGACAACCCGAACATCCCTCTCTTCTCCAAGAAGAAACAAAAGGCATCGCAAACGTACGTCGATAATCTTCAAAAATCCTACTGTGAGAGTAGAATTTCCAATAGAACTACAATAGAAGAAGTATTTTCGCAGCAGTTTGGTAAACTTCGGTTGGCACTGAAAGCTTCAGAAAAGAAATTGAAGCTCCAATCCTCGGCTGAACTGCTGGATGATCCTGCTGTTTGCCCACCCGCACACAACGCTATACTAGACGCTATCGGTGTATTAGCTTCGTTGAGTTTCCCTGCTGGTAACAATGGTACCATCGTGGCAAACTGTCTTTCCCTCGTGGATTGGAGGAAGGCGTCCCCCTCCTCTAGCCTGGAGGTCTTTAACCTGCTTGTAAAGACCTTTTTTAGTCAGGGCAATTGCACCGATAGCGAAGTGATGCTCCCGATGGTGAGTTTGTCGTTGAAGTCCGGATATCTTGGCCCGATACTGTGGTGCGTGCTGCACGGTGCGGAAGGCTCGGTTGTGGGACAGATTGCACCAACGGCAATCGACCACTGCCCAGTTACGCATTTTAAATACGCTCTCGACTCCTTTACGGCTTCTTTTTGTCAGTTGCCGTTCTCTACTGGGGACGAAAAAATAAGTTGCTTCCGTTTTCCTCCAAAAAAGTTTTGCGTCTGCCGGAGCTCCACCTTAGTAGACTACCAAGTGCTAGGGAAGCAGGGATCACGAGTGTCGCGTGACAGAGAGTTCACGCTGACTTTGCAGAAAGGCGAGCGGGTCATTTGCCGCAACGAGAAACAGGC